ACGTCTAAAACATGCTTTGAAGACGACTGCTGGCCCAGACTTTCACAAGTGAATATCGATTTTGTGTGCCTGACTTGAAATTCCTTAAATGGGCAAGAGGGTGAGTGGTCAGAGTATTCTGGAAATGAGGCTCATTTAGATGGTGCCTCTTGTGGGCAGCTAAAAATTGTTAATTGCTTTTAAAATCATGGCCTTTGCAGAATCCCCCTAGCTTCCTGCTATTTAAAAAAAAATTTAAGCTCATCCACAGACTGAATAGTGTCTATTCAAGGAATTATTTTCAGACAAAGAGGGTTAGAGCATTAGGGCTAAACATATGTTTCAATGGAATCTCTAACACTCCAACCAATATTACTTTCAAAAAGTTCTATACCTCGTAAAAAACCCAAACATTAATATCTCTGGAAACAAACCATTAATTTACACAATCCACTCAAAAAGCTTTGCTCCTAAAATTTGCAAAAATATACACAAAGGTCAAGATAAATTACTGAGATTATGAAATCCTATTTTCAACAATGCTTGGTAATTCACCCTTAATCTTTGAAAATATTTTTGCAAGTTGTAGAGGGCAAAGCTGTGTTTGAGAAACCTGTGTAAACTGGGCCAGGTAAAGTGAATGAAGGATTATGTGTCAGCAAGAAGCAGGCTGGATACCTTAATTGTTTATTTCTACACTTTAAAAAAAAAAAAACAACCCAACGTTAAAACCTCTGGATTATTTTAAATGAAGACAGCAATATTGTTTGGGTCTTAGCCAAACTCTTTAAGAAGGGTTTTTGAGTGAGCATCTTTGCATATAGGGCCCCCAGCAGCAAAGTACTACTCTGACAGCTCTTATGAAGCTCCAAGCTCTACTTGGACTTTTCAGGCCAAGCCATTTTGGAGATGTGAGCCATAAAACCTTAGGAAAATTTTCAAAGCTCCTTAACTTTACAACTCCTTTTCTGATAGTTACCAAGCACGCCAGAAAAATTCTAATGAGGGATGAGATGAAGCATGTAAAATTTCAGGAAGATTGGTTTCTTTGCGAAAACCTGGGTGGAGAAGCATTTGAAACATCTGGCCAGTAATAGGAAGCTAACGTAAACATTAACTGTGAAGTTTAGAGAGAGACTGCTTTACAATACAGCAGTATTTCCTCTGTATTGTAACCTGACTGTCAACATTTCATGTCATCTTCTAGTTAACAGTGCTGTTACGTCCTTTATTGGAGTTCTAGACACATGGAGAAAATTTACGCATGTATGGATGGACAGAGGGACACAGCTGTTGCCCGCCCCCCCCCTCCCCCTTCCCCAAAACAAGATTACTAATAGACCCAGAAAAGATAAGAGTCAGACCTGCTGGTCCATGAAAGTCTACGCAAGAACAGTGATAAATCACTTGCTGTAGCTTTGAGGGCAAGTCTGATATTAAAGGTTTGCTGTATTGATTAGCATCTGAAGCATGCAGACATTCACTACTAGAGACAGATGCTAAGTAATGTTTCATCATATCTTCTTTACCCTAGTCTGCTTTCAAAATTGTAGGTATTTTACTTGGTGCATCAATGAAATAAGTAACTACACAATATTAAAGTAATACTGAAATAAGTCCATCTTTTATCTAACACCTAACAATTCTCTATCACTACTCCTAAGAGTATGGAAAGATACTAAATGCTGAGTCTCTACAGTTATGAGATGTGCCGTACTGCACCTCGCTCAACCCTACATGTTAGGCTGAATGCTCCTGGCTGTAACTTGCAGCTGGAAGCATTTAAAGGCCAACTTCTCTGCTCTCTATCCACATTTATATTAAATGTAGTTTTACAAATTCACAACTAACATTTTACCAAATAGCGCACACGCATTTCTATTCAATAATAAAAATGTCCTTTGGCCCCCAGACAACTTATTATCTACAGCCTTGTATACCTGACAAATATAGAAAAAAAAACATGTTTGACCCATTCCCTGACCCCTCAACAATGGACCTCTTTGTGAGCCTTTAATATCCTTATCAGGTCTGTCTAGACACGCTGACAGCAATTGTCCCTAGTAATGTCAAAATGCACTCTGACCCTTCTTCTCATCCTCCAGCTCAGTCAGAAACACTTCAATGGGATGGACCCAGGAGCCAATTAGCTTCACAGTCCATAGGGCACACCTGTGTCTAGGCTGATCTGCACATCTTTGTACAGAAAACAGGGTATTTTATACCAGGGGGAAAGCCATTATGTTTAAGTAAATAGGAAAGCGATGTCAATGACAGTTTTTTTAAAGCTCCCCTTAATGAAACCTTGTCTTCACCTCTCACCCAAAAGTGAGAAAATAAAAACATCCAAAAATAAAAATTTCAAACAATTTAGTACATACAGAGTGTTCTATATACATGGACAGCAGGTTTTTAATGAAGTCTCAAGACATTAAACAAAAATAAGCATTTTGAAAAAATATATATATCAGAGCCTAAGTTACTACTCTTAAAAGGCATATTTTATATATGCATTATGTGTATGTATATATATATACATACACACACACATATGGTCTAGTGTCTAATTTCTGTCCTATAATCTTATTTATAGGATCAGCCTCTCCCCGTGCATACAAAAGCACAAAACAATTAAAGTCTTAGCACTATTAAAATGCTGCAGTGACTAGTTTCAAGATATTGATATTTTACCAAATGTTAGCAATAATTTAGCTTTCAAGACCAAGTGACCACATTAGAAAGTCACTGCAGTCTGAGAAAAAAAAATCATATTTGTCTTCAACATACAAAACCAAAAAAGGATTGGAAAGAAGAAAAACAGAATTCTATCCGCAGGATAATATAAGATCTAATAAACCAGAACTAGCTTAGCCCTAAAGCTAGGAAGGATTTACAAAGATTGTTTAATTGATTTTTCTTCTATTAAAATGCAGATCACACTGTCTGGGATTCAGAAACTCAGACACATGTCTTTGTGTCCACTCAGCTCCATGAAGTCCCTGTCTGAAACTCGCACAATGCCCAACTTGCACGTGTTCAAAGACATGCTGTTCCTTTTTTGTCTGGGCCCCTCAGGACTGGAGTAGAGTTGGGAAATGCAAATCCCCTACACATTGGTTGAAAGTTTAATTTTTAGGATTTTAGTCACAATCTACCACAAGTAATTAAAAAATCCTGTCAAAGAACAGGCTTACAGTACAGCCAGCACATGTACAGCTATAACCCAGCAACGTATGTGTAAAACTCAAAGGATAGTTTTAACATATCCAGAACAAATTTAACCTACATTAAAAAGAGTTTCTCTAATAAAATGTACATGATTACTCTACCAACGATGGAACGGATCACAATCACCAGTGCCTTAAACTGAGGGAGTGGAGGTGATTGTCTCTTCCCTTAAGCCAGATTATGTATTTACTTTTACTACAAGCCACAGAACAGTGGCCACCAATTCTGTTTTTTCTTGTCCCAGATCCCCATTATTTAGCCTCTGCCCCCCATTACAGCTACCTTTATTAGGGATAACTGTCCTTATGCCAACCATAAACAAACAAGGACCAGTCAGCCCTACTATAGAACATCAGATTATAGTAACTGCAGTTTTCTATACACAGCCTGTCTTTTCTACAACCTGAAGTTGAGTGAACCCTCAGACGTTCCTGTCAACTGCTGGAAATGGCCCACCTTGATCATCACTACAAAAGGTTCTTCCCCCTCCCCCCCACCCCTTGCTGGTAATAGCCCACCTTAAGTGATCACTCTGGTTACAGTGTGTATGGTAACACCCATTGTTTCATGTTCTCTATGTATATAAATCTCCGCACTGTATTTTCCACTGAACGCATCCGATGAAGTGAGCTGTAGCTCACGAAAGCTTATGCTCAAATAAACTGGTTAGTCTCTAAGGTGCCACAAGTCCTCCTTTTCCTCCCTCAGGAGTACATCCAGCCCCAACAGTTCAAGGAATCAAAGGTTTGATCTCCTTATAACAGTGCAGTGCATTAGACATCTGGCCAGCCCTCCATTAGTTGGCTATAATTGATTATAGTTTGTGATTTAATTTAAAAGCATTCTGAAAAATATGTTAGTCCCACAACATTGAGGCGGATGGGAACTTGGTGAGAAAAAACACGTCTAATTCCTTGGGCAAAAGTACTGAAATGTATCCTTAACTTTCACTTGACTCGTCAACTGTCTCCAATAACAAAGAATTTGGATAATGCAGTAGTACTGTCACAAATTAATGCTGTTACAGGATACTGCAAAACATGCAGAATATTTTAATTCACTGTTGGCGAGAGTTTGATTTCTTGATGACATCTAGTGTGAATAAATCAGCATTGTAAGCTTACACAGTGAGATAATGTAAGAACAGATGCTTATGAAGATATGCAGACCATGAATGGCATAAGTTTCCTACGTAATGACTTGATCTGAGAACAGTTTGTGCCTCATCAATAAATAGCAGTGCTTTAAAAACCATTCTCATTCTGTACCTGTATCCACAGGGATGTTACATGTTATCCTCATTTCACAATGGGGAAAACACCGAGCTTAGGTGACTTACCCAAGGACATTATTCATGGCAGAACTGGGATCAGAACTCATGCATTTCTTAAACCAAAACCTGTGCTCCCTCCTTTGCACACTGCAACCACTAAGGAAGATTTCAGGTTATTTCTGAGGAATTATAAAATCTAGCTCTCTTCCCTCTGTGGGGGGAGGATAACAGGAAAACTTCTACAATGTTCAGAGTTATCCTGTGAATTCTTTGTTTTAATTAACTATATTAACTCAGCCTTACAAAATTCGACTTGTCCAGAACACATTTTTTGATGAGTGAACAAAATATATAATTTGATTGATCATTGGAGTGTCTGGGCCTCAACTGGTAAATTTCAGGAACAATTTCTGCAAGGCTCTACAATAGATTCACAAATTCTAACTTTTTTTAAAAACGGGACACATCAGCACAGCTCTTTCTTGGAACATGCCAACCGTGTTTTAATATGTGTTGTTACCTGAACTGCAATCCAGCTGGCGTTAACAGCATGTTCTCCAAATGGGCCAAACCCTGAAACAGAAATAAAGATTTAGTGATGAAATCATTATTGCAGGCTTGACTGGACACAGAGGTGCAAACTGATTCGCGCTTTTCTGTTTTAAATGTGCGCAAGGGAAACTACTTATGGATACCACAATGATTTCTTTGAATACCAAATTCTTGCTCATTTACATTCAAGTACTCAAATCCTTTCCACCTTCCAAAAGTATCTGACTTATATTATATAACATCCTTTTATGTCTTTTGAATGAAAATAGACAAAATATTGAAGATGATTTCAATTCAATAGGTTGTCTAAATAAAAAACTCCCTCCCAATTCTGACATAGTCTGGGGAAAAAACAAAAAACCCCAAACAAAGTTACAAATTTTCTGTTCTTCCTTCCCAGTTGAAATCATCCCGTCCCACAACTGTCAGAGTCCACAACAAATCCCTCTACAAATATACAAGCAAATTAACATACCTACTAATTTGCATCTCCTCTCTATTAAGCAAGTCTTAATTAAGATTTCCATCATTACGGTTATATTTTAACAGGAAGTTAAACAGAATACTGCTGATGATCCCTACACAAATAAGCACCAAAGGTTATGATAGTTCTATACAAAACGCTTGCACGGAGCCTAAATTTTCTAATGAATAACTTATGGTTAACTAGTAACCCACAATACAGTAGTTTTTACTGAGCAAGCATTTCCTCACTATTGTACCACCACAAAAGTAAGGCAATTCAGCGACGTGCAAAGTTATGCCACTATAGTTTAAATTAACTTTCAGAATTGATTTGTGAGCCTAGAGTGCTTGTGAAAACACACAAGAAGTCTTGTTCAGCTAAAGGAAATGCCTTAGGGGTATAAAGAATGCTGTCATTATTATGATAATATTCAGTTTACTGTGAATAGAGAGTGACATTTCAGGTTATACTGTATACAGCTATACTAGTGATTAGCTCTCTGTGCAGTCAAACAGGAATTCTACTTAAAAATCCCACAAAAAACCAAAAACACCTATGTATAATCTAACCAGTGTCACACTCAAAATTCAGTTCCTAAAAAAAAAAAAATCTTGTTAAGCTTTCCACAAGAATGACTTGCAGGGGTCCTATCTGTGCAGGCCTAACCTCCATAAGATAATGGTCATCAGAGGCGGTAGCATACTGGCAAATAGTGAAAAGCAGCAAAATGCTGACAAATCAGTTCATTAGTCAACTCAATGACAGTAAAAGAAACTACAATCCAAAGATGACCAGAAACATTTCGTAATCCAGACTGTTGCATTTCTGGAGTTCTGTAACAAGTCTAGCTACAAACCAAATTCCCTGTTCAGTGGCAATTCTAAAGGTGCTCAGTGTGGCTTAATGCTCTGATTCTGCATCAGTTGCCCACACATGCCACACTGGCCTTTTGCTCTTTTGACCCAATAGAAAAGGTGTACGGGGGATTCGTTCTCTTGCCCTATGTCCTTTATGGAAGAAACTCAACTGAGCATGCCCAAGACTTCTTCGACCACCACACTGAAGGGGCCTCTTCCAAGGCTAATTAGCACTAAAGCCAGCTGCAGAGATCTTTATAGGATTCTCTCTTTAAACAGTTCTAAAAAACAAAACACACACGCGCACACACCCCTACTGAGTGCGTATCGCCAACAGAAGGAGGTGGAAGCAATATCATTTCCCAGACTTTTAAAAAGAGAGCTTAAAAAGGGAACATGACAGCTGTAGACGGATTATCCCAGTGGCAAACATGGGTCTAAGGCAAGTTAACTTCTGTCAGAATTGGACTCCATAAACGTGCAGTACCAAAGCAGAAAGTGCTGCGAGACGTGGAAACTTCACCAACACAACTTTTCTTTTTAGGCCTTTGATCAAGGAATTGAGAAGTGGTGGAGGCGGACACTTCGCTGCATACACTGACTGGGTTGACAAAGCCACCTTCCTAGGTCTCAGTACCGTAGAAACCCTGGCCTCCGATTCAAATCACTCTGCTGCAGCAACAAAACCCCTTACCACTCCTCTGCCTTCCCAATAAGACAAACAACCTCAACTTCAGCTACACAGGGAGCACTGAATAGTTTAATTGAGTTCCCCATTTGTCACAGAGCTGCCTTCCCCACAAATCAAACTGCTCTCCCCTTTGTATCCTTAGGAAAAGATTCTGACAAGCGCTAGCCTGCTATGTAAGGGCCTTTCATTCCTTCGCTTGCTTCCCCACTTCACTCTCCCAGGCGCAGTTATTTTGGTAATACTTTCGGCTTCGTTTCCCCAGGGGATGGGGCATGCACGGGTATAAACGCCTCTGCACGCCCGCCAGCTTTCCAGTGCTCCCCACGTTGCTTTGGGTGAATTTACTTTTAATTCACAAGATTGTTCTCCCCATGCCCCAAACCTGCAGCAAGACCCTGAGCAGGGAGCCCAGGCTGGAAAAGTGAGGCTCTCCTCCCCCCCCCAAAGCCGCCCCCCCCTCAGCCCCACCGGCTCTCCTCCCCCCCCTCAGCCCCACCGGCTCTCCGCCCCCCCTCAGCCCCACCGGCTCTCCGCCCCCCCCAAGCCGCCCCCTCAGCCCCACCGGCTCTCCGCCCCCCCTCAGCCCCACCGGCTCTCCGCCCCCCCCCCCCCCCCCTCAGCCCCACCGGCTCTCCGCCCCCCCTCCTCAGCCCCACCGGCTCTCCGCCCCCCCCCTCAGCCCCACCGGCTCTCCGCCCCCCCTCCTCAGCCCCACCGGCTCTCCGCCCCCCCCAAAGCCGCGCCCCCCCCCTCAGCCCCACCGGCTCTCCTCCCCCCCAAAGCCGCGCCCCCCCTCAGCCCCACCGGCTCTCCAGCCCCCCCAAAGCCGCCCCCTCCTCAGCCCCACCGGCTCCCCCCCCAAAGCCGCCCCCCTCCTCAGCCCCACCGGCTCTCCCCCCCCAAGCCGCCCCCAGGCTCCCCGCGAGAGGCGGGCTGGAGGGGCACTCCGCCTACCCCCGCTTACCCGTCACCACCACCGGCCGCCGCAGAGGCTCCATCTCGGCTCCGCCGCTGCCCCCGGCCGCCCGGAGAGTGACTGGGAGCCGCGCCCCCGCGCCCCGCCCGCCACTCGCGGCCGCCCAGGGGCATAGAGCGGAGGCCGCCCAGGGGCAGAGCGGCCCTAGCGGGGCACTTCCGTCAGCTCTGGTATTCCAAACCGGAAGCTGCTCCTGATTCCCCCGGCCGCCGACTGACTGTGGGTCACGTGTGCTGCGCCCCCCCCCCCCAGGCCTGACCCCCCCCCCGTTCTCTCCGGCCCCCAGGGCGGCAACATCCTGCACAGCCTGGTTCCCCACCAGCCCCAGGGCCTCGCAGGCCGAGGTCGCCCCTCCCGACGTCAGCGCTGGCCCGGGCCCTTCCGAGGGACTTGAACCTTCGAGCGTCGCGGGACGACCTCGCCCACAGGCCTCGTGAACGCGCTGGGCCTCTCTCGCTTTTCCTCATCGCCGCCCCGGTGACTTTACCGCATGGTCCCCGCGTCCCTCCAGTGCCCTTAGTTTAACTCCTTACCGCTAGCAGTTAGGTAACTGAGAGTCCAACAAGGAAGGCACTGAAAATGCTGCTTTGACCTGCTGTTTGATTTCCAGACACGCGTTTGAAAACAAAGCCAGTTACTGAAAGCCAAGGATAAAGGCTTGCTATAAAGGATAAAACAGAACCTGAACCAGCAGAAAGGTCTGTATACATACACCAAACTGATACATGGAATGGAGTTGAGTGGTGGTCGGGGTGACCACTGGCAAGGCTGGATATTCTCACCGAATTGACCCATTTTTGCTTTTTTCTGAGCTTCTTCCTGTTGCCGGCACCCAGCGCCGAGAGGCTGAACAACAGCTTGAGTTGGTTCGCTACCCGGTGTGCTACACCCGATAATCACAACGGGGTGGAGAAGCAGAAAAGTTTATTTGAAGCTTCAAAAAGGTACAGGGAGATTTGAATCTCAAATCCTGTACACAGAGCAGGAAGTTACACAGGCTTTTATACATCCTTTTTCCCAGCATACTGATCCAATAGCAAGCTGCCCTAAGTATCCATATAGCCAGCCAATCCAATTCCCAGCTAGTTCCCTTGTTCTCTGTATCATTTCTTAAACCATACATAAAGCTGCTTTATTCAGCATTGTTCTTCCATATCTCCCCTGTGTGGCCTTGCTTAGTTTCAGGCAGTCTGACTCCGCAGCATATTGTTGCAGATTCTCAGCATAATTGCTGTGTGTGCCTCCAGGCGGGGGGGGCCAAGGACACTTGGGCCTAGTACGCAGAGCTGCTGCGAGTGCCTCCAGGCGGGAGGGGGGCCAAGGACACCTGGGCCTAGTGCGAGGGGGCTTCATCGACACTCGTGGTCTTCCATCCCCTCGAGTTACCTAGTGGCCATGCCCCAGTGTCCCCAACAACTCTCCCCTTTGAGAACACTCAACAACCTTGGCTCTGAGTTTTCTCACTTGGGCTACTTATTTCTTTAGCAACATGGTGCACAAGCAAAACAAAGGAGTTTTGCTCCCGATATGCACAGTTTGGAAATACCAATACAGAGAATAACAATGTTACCCAATTAATTATCACCAGAGTCTTCCCAACCCAGGGTCTCCAGTACCTGGCTGGGCCCATTTTAGCATTAAGGTGCCCGCTATTTGTGTCTTTTAAACAGTAGCTTTAGCCCGAGATCACTAGATGAGGAGTCAGCAGGTTGGACGGTCCACTGTTCTGCTGACGAGGGGGCAGGTACTGCCTTCAGACGAGAGTGATGGATCCAGTTCTTGTGTCCCTCGATCTTTGCCGCTGTATGGGAGATCAGCAGGACAGTATAGGGTCCTTTCCACTTTTCCTGGAGAGGCTCGTCTTTCCAGGTACGAACAAGGACAGAGTCACCGGGCTGTAAGGAGTGGACGGGAGTGTCCAAGGGGAGAGGCTGGGAATCCTTGGTATACCTGTGAAGAGACAAGAGAACAGCAGACAGGGAACACATATACTGTGACAAAAAACCATTACCCAACTCCCATTCCCCTGACAGAACCGGGGTGCCATTCATAGGCCATGCCCTTCCAAACATAATTTCAAAGGGACTGAGCCCTAATCTACCCTTTGGGAGAACGCGTATACGGAGTAGGACGGGGGGCAAACCATCAGGCCATCGCAGTGAGGCTTCTTGGCACACTTTTGAGAGATGCCGTTTAAGGGTCTGATTGATACGCTCCACTACACCACTGGCTTGCGGTCTCCAGGGCATATGGAGTTTCCAGGGGATCTGTAAGGCATGTGAGATGCTTTAAATGATTTTTGACATGAAGTGTGTCCCGTTGTCAGATTCCATCCACAGGGGGAGTCCAAAGCGAGGAATGATCTCCTTAACAAACTTGAGGGTCACTGTTCTGGCAGTGCAGTTACGGCATGGGAAGGCTTCTGGCCATCCGCTGAACCGATCCACTATAACAAGGAGATATTTCAACCCTTGGGTCCGGGGAAACTCAGTAAAGTCTATTCGCCACACTTGTCCAGGGCCCGGAGTGGGTTCTAGGGCAGCTGGTGGCACAGGATGTCCCGGTCGGGGGTTATTCTTTTGGCAGACTAAGCAGTCCGCTTGTACCTGGGCAGCCAGGGGTCGGAGTCCGGAAGTGATAAAGTATTTTCCCATTAGTTGGATAAGTGCTTCCCTGCCAGCATGAGTGGTTTGATGTAGTTTCTGCAGCACTGGCCGGATTAGGCCCTTTGGTAAGAGGACCTTCCCTTCTGGGGAATGGAGCCATCCCTCCTTTTCCCGGAGACCGAGTTTGTCAGTTAGCTGTCTCTCCTCCCCAGAATACTGAGGGGTTGGAAGCTCCCCTACTGATGGGATAAGGGCATGCATATGGGTGTTCTCAGTCTGAGGGGATGGCAGGGTGGCAGCATGCTTAGCCTCTCTATCTGCCCGGGCATTACCTCTGGCCACATTTTGATCCTCCCTTTGATGGGCTTTACAGTGTACCACCGCCACTTCCGAGGGAAGTTGTACGGCTTCTAGGAGCCGGAGGATTTGGGGCCCGTATTTGACTGGGGAGCCCTGGGCTGTCAGCATTCCCCTTTGCTTCCATAGGCCAGCATGAGCATGCAGCACACCAAAAGCATACTTTGAATCAGTAAAAATGTTGACCCGCTTTCCTTTTGACAGTTCAAGTGCACGGGTCAGGGCTATTAGTTCGGCAAGCTGGGCAGAGATCCCAGCAGGCAAACCTTCAGCTTCCACAGTGTCATGGAGGGTCACAACAGCATAACCCGCCCTCCTTTGCCCATTTATTACAGTACTGCTACCATCAGTGTACCACTCATAATCTGCATTTGGGAGGGGTACATCCTTTAAATCCGGACGGCTGGAGTACTGGACATCTATGATCTCTGAACAGTCATGTTTCTGTTCCTCTGTTTCTGGCAAGAGAGTGGCTGGGTTAAGGGAGGGGCAAGGCTGTAAGGTGACTTCAGAGTTCTCTAACAGCTTAGCCTGGTACCGAGCAATCTGAGCCTGGGTGAGCCAAAGCCCTCCCTTTGCATCCAATAAGGCTCGGACCATATGGGGAGTATAGATTTGCATAACCCCTCCCAATGTTAGCTTCTCGGCTTCCGCAAGCACAAGGGCAGTAGCTGCGACAGCCCGTAAACATGCCGGCCAACCCTTTGCAACCTGATCCAGTTGCTTAGAAAAATAAGCCACAGGACGTCTCCATGCTCCTAACAGCTGTGTAAGCACTCCTAGGGCCACCCCCCTTCGTTCATGTACATACAACTGAAACGGCTTAAAGAGATCCTGCAGGCCCAGAGCCGGGGATTCCATCAATTTTCTTTTCAGGATTTTAAATGCCCTGTCAGCCTCTGGGGTCCAATAGAAGGGGTCATGATCTGCTCCTTTTACACAGTCGTACAGGGGTTTAGCCCACAGTCCAAACTCTGGGATCCATATCCTGCAAAAGCCTGCCATACCCAGAAATGCCCTGAGCCGCTTACGAGTGCTTGGGGTAGGAACTTGACAGATAGCTTCCTTTCTTTCACTTGAAAGCTGACGCTCCCCTTGCCGTATGTGAAACCCGAGGTACCGTACCTCTGGGAGGGCGATTTGAGCATTACTCCGTGCTACCCGATATCCCTGGAGTCCAATAAAATTCAGGAGGCTCACGGTGGCTTTAAGGCGGGGGTTTGGCCCACAGTGGCAATTAACAAATCATCTACATACTGCAGAAGGAGGGCCTCCTCATTATCCCACTCCTCTAGGTCCCTGGCCAGAGTCTGGCCAAAGAGGGTGGGGGAGTTTTTAAATCCCTGGGCCAACACTGTCCAGCAAAGTTGCTTTTTAACCCTTTTTCGGTCCTCCCACTTGAAGGAGAAGATCTCCTGTGACGGGGTGGCAACTGGGATGGTAAAGAAAGCATCTTTCAGATCAAGAACTGAAAAATGGGTATACTGTCCCCCTATAAAAGCCAATAAGGTATATGGGTTAGGGACAAGAGGGTGCAGAGTCTTAACCCGTTCATTGACTGGCCTTAGGTCCTGTACCAGCCGATACGTGCCATCAGGCTTCTGTACGGGTAGAATGGGAGTGTTCCAGACTGACTGACATTCCTGGAGAATACCATACATTAGGAATCGATCTATAGTTTCCTGTAAACCTTCTCTGGCTTCCCTCTTGATTGGATACTGTTTTACTTGCACTGGGCCTTTCCCTGGTATGAGCTGAATAGTACTGGGGGTCTGGTGGGTGGCCTTTCCTGGAATCCCTGATGCCCACACGAGGGGGTACATCTGGTCTTCCAACGGGCTCCATTCTGGGGCTTGCATGGCTGAGGGCTCAACTGCAAGGGTCATGATCCATGCATTCTCAGGGGGTAAGGTAAGGGTTATTTCATCCTCAGTAAAATGCAGGGTGGCACTGAGGCGACAAAGCAGATCCCGTCCCAGCAGAGGCATTGGACACTCAGGGAGGTATACCAGCTTGTGGGATATAGTCCTGTTTCCCAAAGCGCATTCCGCTGGGGCATACACTGGGCACTTGGTATCCCTGCCTGTGGCTCCCACCACAGTAAGGGAATCTGCTACTGGCAACTGAAGAGGTTGATTTATGGCAGTTCGGGCCGCTCCAGAGTCCACTAAAAATTTATTTCTGAGCTTCCCACCCACATCTTTACTCGGGGTTCCGAGGGTAGGATGATCCGTCTCCCCTGACACCCCTATTCCTGTTCTTCTATCGCCATCATAGAGGTACCCCCCCTTTCCTTCTTGTTTGGGCACTCATTCTTCCAGTGTCCCTCTTGCCAACACAGGGCACACTGATTGCACCCCAGTCGTCTCTCCCGCGGGCCTGGACGTCTGCGTCCACGGCCCCTTCCTTCTCGTTCACTTCCCTTCATGCCTACCTGCACCGCCGCTACCATCAATCTCACTTGCTTCTTCTCCTTCTCCACTTCTCTTAAACTATACACTCGGTTTGCTGCTTCTAAAATCTGTGCCATGGTCATACCCATCAAATCCTCCTTTTTCTGTAGCTTTCTCTTAATGTCAGGGGCTGCCCTGCTTGTAAATACTCCTTTAATAATTGCCTCAGTTTGTGGATCATTAGGATCTGCATTGATATACTGTCGGATCGTGTCTCGAATGCGCTGTAAAAAGGCTCCAGGGCTTTCCTTTGGATCCTGCATTACTTCATATGGCTTTTCCCAATTATTATGTCGGACAGCCAAGTGATGGAGTCCATGCAAAAGCAACTCCTTATAGGAGGTAAGGCGGGTCATATCCCCATGATCATTTGGATCCCACCTGGGGTCTGCTCGGGGGACTTGTGCATCCGGGTCAGGGACATTAATACGATCCCGGTCGTACCGTCTCTGCGCCTCCTCCCTTGCCTTGGACACAACCTGTTGTCTTTCAACCTCAGACAATAGGGTTCGCAGGAGGACGTTACAATCATCCCAATCTGGCTTGTGACTACTGAGGCACCCCTCAAAGACTGATATAAACCTGCTTGGGTTGGTGGAAAACTCTCCTGCCTGTGCTTTGAAAGTAGCCAAATCCACAGGATTAAAGGGCACATGAGTATAAACCTGCATAATTGTGGCCGGACGCCTGTCCGATCCAGACCAGGCGACTTTAGTTTCGGTGATTAAGGGGTATAGGCCAACCATTGGGGACTTACAAGGTGTGGGTGTAGGGGCCGAAGGGGACACCGGCTCTGCCATTACAGTGGGGGTGGGGGTCTGGGGACTAACATTAGCTGCTACCGAACCAGTCGGAGTCAGATTACAGTGCTGTAAAATATCTGGTCGAGTACATAAAGTCAGAAACAAATGCGCATACATATGTTCATTCCATTTCCTTGTTCTCTGACAGAACAGGAGTAACTGAAGGATCGTGTTGTAATTAATTGACCCTCCTGGTGGCCACCACTCCTGGTCCTCTAGTTGATATTGAGGCCAGTCAACTGTACAGAATTGTTTTAATTGGCTCTTAGTCATTGGATCCGTACCAAATACCTTCCAGTTTGCTAGAATGCACTCTAGGGGCGTACACCGTGCCCTAACCACTGAGCTCTGTCCCTGTCCCATATCTACAGGGTAACTCTGGGCGTCCCCAGGTTCCAACAGAGCATACAATCCGGATTTCAAAAGGTTCCTACCTTATCCAAGGGACTAGTTCTTCACTGTCGTCCACCACAACTGCTTCTCCACTATATGAGTGCGTTGCACCGTTGTGCCCTCCGGGGTTGATCAAATCGCGTCTCCTCCGAGGCCCCCGATGAACTCACCGGTGCGCGCTGGGCGTCGGTTCTCGCCGCAATCCTCGACCTCCAGGAGGGGTCCGGGCAAGGCTAAATTGCAGCCTCCGCCCACCCAGGGACGCCAAAAGCTGTTGCCGGCACCCAGTGCCGAGAGGCTGAACAACAGCTTGAGTTGGTTCGCTACCCAATGTGCTACACTCAGTAATCACAAGGGGGTGGAGAAGCAGAAAAGTTTATTTGAAGCTTCAAAAAGGTACAGGGAGATTTGAATCTCAAATCCTGTACACAGAGCAGGAAGTTACACAGGCTTTTATACATCCTTTTTCCCAGCATACTTATCCAATAGCAAGCTGCCCTAAGTATCCATATAGCCAGCCAATCCAATTCCCAGCTAGTTCCCTTGTTCTCTGTATCATTTCTTAAACCATACATAAAGCTGCTTTATTCAGCATTGTTCTTCCATATCTCCCCTGTGTGGCCTTGCTTAGTTTCAGGCAGTCTGACTCCGCAGCATATTGTTGCAGATTCTCAGCATAATTGCTGTGTGTGCCTCCAGGCGGGGGGGCCAAGGACACTTGGGCCTAGTACGCAGAGCTGCTGCGAGTGCCTCCAGGCGGGAGAGGGGCCAAGGACACCTGGGCCTAGTGCAAGGGGGCTTCATCGACACTCGTGGTCTTCCATCCCCTCGAGTTACCTAGTGGCCATGCCCCAGTGTCCCCAACATTCCTCTTCCCCACACTTGTACTAGAATCTGGGAATTAAAGTATCAACAGGGTCTGCTATTGTTACTGCTATGCTATATGATGTGACACCACCTAGTCATTGATTGCATTTGCAGGTAAATTCTTGAATATCCATCTGTGTACTGAAGTTCAGTTTTTTGTCACTGTAAGGAAATTACCATGGTCACGACTTTTAGGAAGAAATACAAAATGTCTCTGTACAAGCAATCCAGGGAATTATACATCCTGAATTAGCTGGTTGGCTACAGGGGAACATGATCAATCTTATTAGGAGCTGGGAATAAGCCATCATAAGCAATGTAAAATGCACCCACATATCACACTGATAGACCTGGATGTGCCTTTCTCAACCTACTCTAAGCCACATTCCAAGGTCCACACTGTAAAGCCAAGTCATCCCCTCAGTTGTTACCTTTTATTAGCAAAGAATTTAATAAAGTTCACCTCAAACATTTTCCTAGACTTGCCTAGGGGATCTTACATCAGGACTGCTTTGCTCACATGCTAAACCATCTCTTTGAAAGGAAGAAAGTGTTCCTTTTACTTCCCTTATATGCTGGTGGGAAGTGAACCACCTGCCTCAGTAGAGCCCACCTAACCCTTTAGCTGCAGGATCAACACCTGCAAACCAGGTGGGGTGTTTTGGGTGAACCGTCGTGTTGAGTTCTGGGAAGTGGGCGGGCAGAAGCCCTCCAGGGGCTAATACTGTTCCAATAAATAAAGGGGCTAAATAGTTCACTGGGAGATATGCTAATAAAGCAGCTGTGCCAATTCCGTGTGTGCAGGATGTATGTGCAGCCCTCAAAGAATTAACGGGATGCACTGGGTCCAATTTTCACCTCTCCCTTTTTCAGTCATGTAAGTTAATGGTTTTGGGGTAGCATTACTCATTCAATAACCCAATGTTTTACAACGAAAGAGAAAGGGACAGTAGGGGGCACAGTTCCCCCCTTCTGGGTTTCTAGGTTGTGAGCTAAAAGAAAAGGAGTACTTGTGGCACCTTAGAGACTAACCAATTTATTTGAGCATGAGCTTTCGTGAGCTACAGCTCACTTCATCGGATGCATACCGTGGAAACTGCAGCAGACTTTATATACACACAGAGAATATGAAACAATACCTCCTCCCACCCCACTGTCCTGCTGGTAACAGCTTATCTAAAGTGATCATCAGGTGGGCCATTTCCAGCACAAATCCAGGTTTTCTCACCCTCCACCCCCCCACACACAAACTCACTCTCCTGCTGGTGCTAGCCCATCCTATGCTCAATGCAGTCGTATTGTATGGCTCGCGTTCAGGGGGACGGGAGGAGAGGACATAGGAAGGCTGGACGGGCACTAGGCAATTTAGGCCTCAGTCCTGCAGTAAGCTCGGCGAGGGTGGACTCCTGCAGCTGCCCAGAGCCCAGCTGCTAAGCGTAGTGCCCTGTAAACACCGGCACCGACAGGGCGGAGAAAGGAGATGGGGGAAACGAGGGACGTTCCTCACGGCGGCCAGTGACGGGTCACCCCCACCGCAATTTGACCTGCGGCGCTGATTGGCAAAGGAGGGCTTGTGGCACCTAGAGACTAACCGATTTACCGGAGCAGAAGCTTTCCTGAGCGCCAGCTCGCTGCACCGGACGCGTTCAGCGGAAAATGCAGGGGGGGGTTAGACTTAGATACACGCAGAGCGTGTCTCCGAGCAGGGCTGGAAAACGGGGGGCTCGGCCGGCCGGGGAGCGGGACGGAGCCCGGCGGGGGCGCGGCAGGAGCGGGGCGCTCTCCAGACCAGGGGTCCCCACGCGGGGGGTCGCGCGGTTATCGCCGGGGGGGGCCGGGAGCGCCCGGCGCAGGCGCCGGAGAGGCGGGGCTCTGGCTGGCGCGCCGCGCGGCATGGTGGGGAATGGGGGCGCGGGGCATTGTGGGGAATGGGGGCGCCCGCCGCTCTTTCGCGGCTCTGTCGTAAAACGGCGGCCGTCGCTTGGCGGCCGGAGCGGAGGGCTGGGCCGGCGGCGGAGTGGCGCGGGGCCGCGGCGGCGGCGGTTTGGGCGGCGGGGCTCGCGCGGCCGGAGCAGGAGGCTGACGGGAGCGAGCGCCCGGGCCGAGCGGGAGGATGGTGAGGCGGCGGCGGGGGAGGGGCTGAAAGGGAGCGCGCGGGTTGGGGGGGGGGGAGGGGCTGAAAGGGAGCGCGCGGGTTGGGGGGGGGGGGAAGAGGAAGGCGCGTGGCCCTGGTGCAGGGCCGCCCCAGCGCTCCCGTAATGCACCTAATAGCGCCAACAGCTATTGCAGCGCCTACCCCCGGCCGGGGTCCTGGTCCAGGGGCTCTGCGGCACTACCGTAGTTCAGCTAATAGCGTACAGCTCCTAGCATAATGGGCCCCTGGGCTGTGGCTGGAGAGGGTCCTGGGTGCTACTGGGAGACACCTACACCACTGACATGTGCAGCACCTGGCACTGTGGGCTCTTAGATGCTACTGTGATCATGCCCCGGGCAGGTCAGTGTGCGGGGCTGTGGTGCAGTAGATGCTGGGGGCACTAGCGGTGTGTGGCTTGGCTTCCCTGGCATGGGGTGCTGTTTACGGGGGAGGGGGTGTCTGGGCGAAACTCGGTTCCTGCTGTGCTTTACCTGACGCTCAAAGGTCAGTTTGAGTGGTAGGAGCTCATGTGGCATATATCTGGGGAAATGGTTCTTACTCCTCCCTGCAAAGTGAAACACAGTCCTCTTGTGCTTGGTAATAAATTCGTGGCTAAAATAACTCTGTCTGTAAATGGACTGTTTTATTCTCTGTTTTGCTGACCTGTTTCTCAGGCTTATCCTCTTTCCTTCTGTTCCAGCTTCCTTTATCCCTGTTGAAGACTGCACAGAACCACCCTATGGTGAGTAGCAAGGATATTTCCTACAAGCAATGCTTGCAATCCTTATGAAGCTTTTTGAGTCACCAGGTCAGGGTCTGTATGTTGGAGGGTAGGGAGGAGAATTTGGAAGCCCTAAAGAAGTGAGTGCTTTAGATGTATTTTCTGTATCTTCCATGTGCTGCAGCTAGAATGTAGTGTGGTGGCCCTTTTTTTGGTCTCTTATTAACCTAGTGTAAAGTAAACCTTCCTAATCTTGTGAGTGACTTTTTATGAAATAAGATTAGAATTAGACATAGCAGAGATTCTAAGCAGGTCAGGTGTGTTTTTCACTACTCTCAATTTAACAGGAGCCTTACTGTTTTAAAGGTGAGTCTTTGGGCTGTCGCTCATCGCTTGTTTTCATTTAAAACCAATAGTCACGTAAGTTAACAAAGCACCGAGTGTGTCTGTGCAGCAGCTACTTCACAGAGCTTTCTAAGGGCATTGCAGCTATTCTGGAACTGCAAGCACAATAATATCCAAAGTACCTTTATGTTAGGAAGGCGGTCTGTATATGAGTGTTAGAAAGATCCCATTGTAGTCACTACCTGGTCACTGTTAAAAAAAAAAAAATTCACACAATAAATTGGTCCGGTAATTATGGCTGCATAGACAGGTAGATAGGGCCAGCTGATGCTTATTATCCAACTCTGTTGACTGTTTTTTAATTCCTTTGTGTGTTCATCTTTGATTGTGAGCTTTTCAGGGCAGAATCTGCATCTTTGTATGTATGTGAAGAGATCAGGCACGTTGTGGGTGCTACTGGAATGCAGACTATAAAAAATCTAAAACTGTTTGCAAAACTTATTTGCAAAGAGAACAGAACAGTTGCTGCACAAATGCAGATCTCATGCAGCATCATTTGGAGCTTACCTAGGACTTAGTTTTTTTTCTTTTGTGTTTTGCGGGCATTTTCCTCACTTTTTCAGAGTAAGTGAGGGAAGATGGAGGATGCTCACAAAACTTAGGGGCCAGATATTTTGTTCCAGTAGCACTCTTATTCCTCCTGTTTTCCCTTTTATTTATTGGGGGAGGTGGTTTCTGAGAGGGTCCCCTGGCCTCTGGCTGCTTTATCTATATTCCTCTTAGTGTGTCTTACTGACTTGAGTCTAAACTGCCCCAAGCAGCAGAGGAAAACAATCTCTTGGTCACGTTAAAATGTAACCTGAAGTATTTAAATTCAATGAACCTGGTGGTCCCAGTACAGTTCCCTGTGGGCAGTAACCCTTTGTGTCAAACTGTACAGACAATCTGACACAACTGCAAGTCACTGTTGCAGAGTGGATCAGGGCCCAAGTGGTGCTGGATACAAAGTTGTCTTTGTCCTGTAGAGAGGGCATCCTTTTCCATTCTGATTGCAGGTAATAATGCAGGCAGGGCCGCTAGAATTCTGAGGTGGGATTAAAGCGCAGTAGCAGTTTTTTATCCTAAAGCTTGAGTAGCAAAAAAAAAAAGTTCCTAGCACACCTCAGGTTTTATTCTCCCTGTTCCTGTACAGGAGGAGGGTTTTATTCTCCCTGTTCCTTTGACAGGAGGTAGCTCTCCTATGTGCATGTAATGTGGGGTGGATATACCTCTTGGTGTGTCTCTTGTTTATTGCCTAAATTACACCATATGGACTGATTTGGAAGTTCACTTCCTCTTGTACAGTCTTACACTTTGACTACGCTTCTCTTGCCCATATATGCTCTTAGGGGATAATTGATTCAAATATTACCTGAAATTGTCTGCTCTTGAGAATTTCACAGTTGCTGGTTATTGTATTTGACTTTCTCCATTGTCTCTCAGTTGGTGGAATTGAAAAATGGTGAAACGTACAATGGTCACCTAGTGAGTTGCGATAACTGGATGAACATCAACCTAAGAGAAGTCATCTGCACATCAAGGGTAAGGTTGACAATTTTAGATTACACTGTCCGGTGCCCCATGCCAGGAACCCCCAGTCTGACTCTGGCTGGCTGTGATAGCTGCTGCCTGGCCATCATTCTGTGTTCTCCCTTTAGTGGGTTACCGCTCTGTAAGAGATGTTTGGTGAGAACTAGCCTGTTCGGGCTGTTCCCACTGACATGGTACTTGTGCATTATGCTCAGTAATAATGTTTAATGTCTATGTAGAAGTGAGGAGAACCTTCTCTTAAATGCAAATAATTGTTTGCAAAGGCAAAGACGCAAAACATGGTCAAACACCAGTGAGTAAAAGAGTTTGCAGGGAATCACAGGAATCAAAATTAACCAGACTGGGCAACGGGAGGAATCGTCTTCTACGGAGTAAGTGCTTCATTTCCAAATCAAGAGGTAATGGGGCTCAAGGAGAGAAGGGGGAGGAGGCATTGTGGAGATTTCCAGAGAGACTGAATCTGAACTGATGATAGCCTGCTGTCGAGTCAGGGTTGTCCAATATACGAAAGTACCATTTTGGTTAACCATGCATGCTATGTAACAGAGCTTATGGCAGAGGTCCCCAAACTGTAGGGCACGCCCCGCTGGGGGGGTTGTGGAGAAACATTTGGGGGGGGGGCTGGTCCTGCCCCTATGGAGGATGGGGAGGTAGCGCCGCCCAGACCCACTCTGCTCTGGCCCTATCCCCTGGCTCCAGCCTCGCCCACTAGCCATGGCTCAGTTCCTGGCCCCAGCCGCAACCCCCACACTCCGTGGCTTGGGCAGAGGGGGTGACCCTGAAAAGTTTGGGGACCACTGGCTTAAAGCCAAGCTTAGTGCACTAGACACTTTCCTAGACACTAGTGTAACCGTGATCATGTTCTGCTTAATGTTTTGTTTGACTTTTTTCCTGTGTCTGATAAACTGCTTTTGTTTAAGAGAACTGGAATCTGTTTTTTACCGATATTAAATTGTGGTTAGATGGTGTCTGATGCTTTGCACACTGGCGGCAGGTAAAGCCTGGAGTACAGGTAGTGAGCTGTTAGAGCACCTGGTTGAGTGCAAAAGGGTTTCCAGTGTCCCCCTCTCTCTATCCCTGCCTCTCATAGCACTGCAAAGAAGCTTGTAGTGGTCAAAGTGAGCCCATAGAGTGCTACACAGCTGGACGCATGCTGGGCTGGGTTACACCCACATGGTTCATGTGACTCATCCTGCCTGGCTGCCTTTTCAATCCCCCTCCAGTCTTGCAGTAGGAAAGCATCAATAGACAAGCCCAGACTTAGAAAAATACACCCAGGATACAGTCAAGCCGGCCTCAGCTGACCCTGCTGATCTCTGGTTAGTTGAATGGTGTTAATGGCAATGGCCACTAGATGGCATGGGGCTGTATCTGGAGGATCTGGCTCTAAACTAGTTAGTTTGTTTACTTCTGTGAGTACAGAAACAAGGAAGTGAAGGGAGACTGGCTCAGTCGTT